AGCGACCATGATACGATGTTCACGGGTTTTAGTATTCAATCGCTATCACTGAAATTATTCTCGCTTCTGCTTCATTTTTTAGAAGGCATATTAGATATAAAAGGGCTAATATATTCTTACATATATATTATTAAGAATAAACAATTTCCAGGGTGTTTGAAAGGAAAGAAATTCATCCAGCATGGACGCTACGTATATGTAGATGTTCTGTACTGTATGTAAACTCTACTGAAATGGTGTTTGTGTGTCACTGATCCTGACTTGCTACTTAATTATTTTTTCTCATTCTTCTATGTCCAATACTTGAAGCATTCTTAACTTAGATTTTTTGAAAAAAAGAATCATATGGTCTGAGTCTGAAGGTGAATATTGAATAATGAATAACGGTTCAAAATTGACAGGGAATAATGAATAATTCAATAAAACTCCTATAAGGAATAATGAATAATGAAATCAAAACTATCATAAAGAATAAATGAATAATAGCAAAAACATATACAATGAATAATGGGGAAAAATAAGACACGAATAAAGAATAGTTGACATGTAAATATTCACCTTCAGACCGCGAATATCACGCTTGTTTGATATTATGCACAATTATTAAAACAAGAAGAGTTTTCAAATCATGTTTATTTTGTACTCAGTTGGTACAACAGACTGACAATGATTACACTGGTCTTATCTTCATCTCAGCTCTCTTAGCAGAATAGTAAGGACTCTTCCAGTGATACCAGTTCACACCGTCACCATCGGACTTGTGCTTACCGTGGTGGTACAGACCATTAAGGTTGGAGTGGTGGCAGTTGTTATGCCACCAGGCACCCTTGTACTTTACAGCACAGTTAACACCACTCCGCTTATCATTATCACGATCAATAGTGGTGAAAGGCATACCACGATGCCAGGACAATGAATCGCCTGCAGTACCTGCATAAACAAATCTCAGATACTTTAATTTCTAGAATCTACGAAGATTCATAACTATCCAAACATGAAATAAAATGAATGAAGGAAATGGGAAAAAAGTAAGTCTATTTCATTAGTTTTCTATAATCCACTGTAATCCTTCAATATTATTTACGACATGTCTACAGCACATTTCTATCAAACCAAACGACTGACTGTACATTGTAGCTCCGACTTTATTTTCCTTTTTTGCATTAAAAATTCATAGAGAATATGAAGCGCAAAAAGAAAAAGAGACAAGTGGTTTTCGTCGTTTTATTCCAATGGCGTGGGAGTTAAGATAGCTAGTCATCCCACACTTTTTAGGGTTCAAAAAATAAAAGTAAGAAATCTGAATGGGACTTATTCTGAACATATAACTAAAGCAATGTTCATTTTAAAGAAATTTCATTTTCCGAAGCCCTAAATATATCCTGGTTAGACACACTCCTCTAGTGTAATGTTCTAGATCTGCCACTGTATTCGGTTTCACAATAGGTAACATTCCAGGAAAA